CTTCCTTCCTTCCTTCCTTCCTTCCTTCCTTCCTTCCTTCCTTCCTTTTTTCATCCTCTCTTTCTTCCTTTCCCTTCCTTTCATTCTTTCTTTCATCCCTTTCTTTAATTACTTTCTTTCTTTCCATTCATTTCTTTCCTCTTTTCTTATTCCTTTTCTTTATCCCTCCCTCTTTCCTTACCATCTTTCTTTTATCTTTCCCTTTGTCATTTTTTATTTCCTTTTTCCTTCCTCCTTTTCTTTATTTCCTTCCTTCTCTCCTTCCCTTTTTCATTCATTCTTTCTTCCCTTCGTCTTTCTTTCTTTCTTTCTTTCTTTCTTTCTTTCTTTCTTTCTTTCTTTCTCTTTCTCTCTTTCTTTTATTACTTCCTTCTTTCCTTCCATTCTTTCTTTCCTCCTTCTTTTATTCATCTTTCACTCCTTCTTTCCCCTTTTCTCTTCTTTTTTATCCTTCCCTTTTTGTATCCTCCTTCCTCCTTTTTCTTCCTTTCTTTTTTCTTTATTTCCTTTCCTTCTTTCCCTTCTTTCTTTCTTCTCTTCCTCCTATCCCTCCTTCCCTTTGTTTCTTTCTCTTTTTCTTCTTCCCCTTTCTTTCCTTTATTCTTCCTTCATTTTTCCTCCTTTTCTTTCATATTTCCTTCATTCTTTATCCCTTCCTTTCTTCTTTTCCTTTTTCATTTCTTTCATTCTTTTCTTCCTCCTTCCTTTCTTCTTTCTTCTATCCCTTCCTCTTCCCTCCTTCCTTTCTCTTTTCCTTCCGTCCTTCTTTTCTTCCTCTCTCCCTCCCTCCCTTTCTCCCTCTTAAAACTTCCTTATTTTTCTTTCTTTTTGGAGCTCAAACCCAAAACCTTGTGCATGCCAGGCAAACACTCTACTCCTGACCTATACTCAGCCCCCTTTTAATGGTTTTAAGATGTTCCTCTGGGATTATTTAACTACCTTATTGATAAATTTTAATAGCAATTGCCAATTTTGGCAATACTTCAGATTGCAAAGGTGTCTGGCTTACTGTCTGGCCCAGCACGTGAGGAAGCACAGAATAGATATCTATGCTAACACAACCACCTCATAATGTGGGTAGGAACATCTTTACTAAAAAAACAAACAAACAAAATTTAAATCTCTCCAGAGTTCATTGTGTAAACCCATTCATTTTAGAGAATAATACAATGTTAATATGTTAGAAAGGGTTTCTGGATTCATGGTGGGGGAAATTGAAACTGTATAAATTTGTGACTGTGTCAATAAAGGGTCACAGAGATGAGAAAAAGAATATGGAGAAGATTTTCCCTTTAAAAATCCATTAATTTAACTAGTATTTTTTCTGAGTGGCTCTTCCTGAAAAGACCTGGAATAAACTGGTGATTATCACACAGGGAAATACGAAAGCGATGTCATTACCTTTTTAAGAACATTGTGAAGTATAAAAACTTTGGCATATACAAGTAAAGTGTCTCTTGCAGAATAGCATCCACTATTTTCCTGACTGCATATTCTGGGTCCAGAATTGGTAACAGAGTAGGCCACCTAAGGAAGGAAAAAAAACCCTGAAATTATTAAAAATTATTCTTTAGGATTAGGGATAAGCAATTTATGAGACATTGTTATACCCCTTTCTTTCTCATTCTCCATCTATTTCTATATTTACTCACTTACTGTCAAAGTAGTAATAGCAAAACTAGAATGTGAAATGAAAACTTATTGTAATAATGTATTCATGTTACAAAAATTCATCTATGGAAAACATTATTGAATGGTCTAAGTGTGGAGTGAGTCACTGGAAGCAAACTGGATTATGTTCATAAGATGCAAAACTGGGTATTTGTGTTTGTTAGAGCCTGAACGTGTTCCTCCAACTTTACACTTAAGCCTAATCTCCACTTGATGTATCTAGATCAGTAGTTGGATCTTGAAAAGTAATTAGGTCATGAGAGTGGAGCCCTTATGAATGGGATCAATGTCCTTATGAGAAGAGGCACAGCATAGGCAGACTTTTGATCTGTTCTTCCTTGGCAAGAAAAAAGGAGAGAACTGTTTTCCTTGGCAAACGAGATCTAACTAACAACAAGAAGGTGGCCATAAGCCCCACTCTTGAACTTACATCCTGTAGAAGATAAGACCTTTCTGTGGTTAATCCACACGTGGTATTATTTAAGGAATCCTGTGGTTAATCCAGACATGTGCTGTTCTTTTAAAGAATCTGGGAGCTGTTTTCTTTCAATGACTGTTAGGATTCCTGCAGTCAGGGAAGAGGTCTGAACAGCATTGGGTGGCAGAGAGGGACTATGGCCAGGACAGGAAACAGAGAAGCAGATCTGGGACCACAGAATGGCTACTATTTGGACCGTGTAATGATAAACCACATGTATCATCATGCACCTCAAACACACATGTGTGAGGGACAATTCTGAAACCATTCATGATTCAGACAATGTTTTAGAAAAAGATCCAAGCAATTCAAAGAAAAGAATAAAAATGAGTGAGCAGATAGTCAATTTGAATGCCTTTACAATCAGAAGGCATACTTACTTGGTAGTGCAACCTTCAAACATTCCAGTTTTTATAAAGAATGGACACACAATTGTAGTTTTGATTCCTTTTTGTTTTAGGGCAAATAGTTCAACAAACATAGATTCAGCGAATCCAACGGCTGCGAATTTACTTGCACAATAGTCTGGAAGAGAGAGAGAGAGAGAGCTAAGGTGCATAGTCTGCCTGGTCTCTTTGTGTTCCATATCATTGTGCATCTCAGAGATTGAGTTCTTTAGGATTCGAACATTAATGACAACAGCACAGGCAATCAGGTAATTAGTATTAATTTTTAGCATTTCGATTGTACTGGTTAGTTTTAATTCATGTTGACACAGCTAGAGATATTGGAGAGCAGGGAGCCTCTCCAATTAAAAAAAAAATGTCCCCATGAGATGTGGCTAGCCTATAGAGTATTGTCTTCACTAGTGATTGGTGTGGAAGGCCACAGCCCATTATGGGTGGTGCCATGCCTGGTCTGGGGGTCCTGAGTTCTGTAAGAAAGCAGGTTAGTAAGCCATAAGGAGCAAGCCAGTAAGCAGCACCTCTTCATGGTCTCTGCATCAGCTCTTGCCTCCAGGTTCCTGCCCTGTTTGAGTTCTTGCCCTGACTTCTGTCCATAATAAACAATGACAAGAAAACATGGACAAATAAGCTCTTTCCTTTCAAGTATGAGTTTCATTACAGCAATAGTAATACTAAGTAAGTCAATTGTGTTTTAAACTACGCTATGTACAGCATTGTTTTTAAGCTATAATGTCAAGGCATCTTTAACAGAATGATATAAATATAACTTTTATGTGCTCTGAGAAACCAAAAGTGTTATGTGACTTGCTTTTGTGTATGGTCCAGAACCAGACACATAATGTCTCTGAGTTGTGTTTGTATTATAAAGTCTTTAAATGGCTGCATTAAGGTCACTTGTAATGCTAATAGCAACAGAGGATGTGACAATCATTTAGAAAGTCCTTTGTGTGGGGAGGAATGTGTAGTAAGTAGCAAGGAACACGGTGACTAAGATAATATGCTATATGGGGGGATACAAAATGAATAAAGTGTAATTAATAAAAAAATTAAAAAAAAGATAATATGCTAATAAACAAGTGGACTCCACGGTGACAAAAGCTGCTCTTTGCTCTTCTAGGCCACACAGTTTTACTTATAAGTGAGTGCTTTGTTGAGCCGGTGTCAACTGTTACATAGGACATAGGATGTCACTTCTTATTTCAAATAACTTAACCTCATGAGGTATAAATACACACAAAAAATACATAAAGCATCAAAGGGTATAGGGCTCTAAGCAAGGAAGTCCAGTGTGCTCTGTGGTACTCAGAAACAAATGTTCTCCCAATCATAAATCTCAGACTGTCAGTGTAGTGAAAACTAATTCAAATCAATGGTTTGAAATCGTCACACTGATGTTATCTGTACATATACAGATAATGTAGCGGTTTCTTTTAAAGCTTTGGTATTAATGGGAGGTGGTAGAACCATTAGGAGGCAGGGCCTATCAGAAGGAAGTCAACAGGTCGCTGGGAGCGTTTCATGGAGGGGAGACTAAGACTGGATCCTCCTGCTGCCATCTTTGTTGCTTGACCACCATGAGGCAAGGTTGTTTCCTCTGCCACATGCTCCTTCATGATGTATTCCTTTAACTTGGTCCAAAATCAACAAGGCCAAGTAACCATGAAGGAAAAACCCTTAAAACTGTGAGCCAAAATAAACCTGTCCTCCTCAGGTGTTTTGCCATGGTGGTGGTGAGCTAGCTGAATACTGGTCCTGTGAAGTGGGACTCACTCTTCATCACAAGCTGTTGGAAGAATTTTTGTCACAGGCTCCAAAGAAGCTGGGCTACAGCCTGAAACCTCTCTAACTGTGAGCCAACTGTCTCCCTAATTATTTTATCACAGTGGTGGGATCTGATACACACAATCATATTACCTAGATGCCAGAAATCAATTGCTGCTGTTTCCATGAGATACAGATTACAGCCTCTGATTTTAACTCTGTCTTCTACTTTGAGGGAAGAACAGAGGACTGCTTAGACCTCATAGTTCACTTGAAAATATAAGGGTGTGGGGGTGGCATTTATGTCCATGTTGCATATTCGGCTGTAAGTCACATTTGCTTTAAGAGCTGAGTTCTCTGAATGAAAATGACTCAAGAAGGAAGGGTACCCACGTAGATTAATTCTTTCCTTTGCCTTCTTTTCCTAAGAGGCATATACACTCACTCTGTTGGGAGGCAGCACTTTGAAAGACAAAAGCTGGGTAGGGCTGCAACTGTCAGGATTGGCACTGTCAGGCCTCAGGGATGTAACACTCAAGAGGCTAGAGGGAGAGAAGAGAAGAGAAGGCTCTAGGGGTGCTTCTAGGCTCATCCAGGTCACCTGATAAAGTACGTCTTATTGAGCCGCTGATTTCTGACATCCTGACAAGCAGATAAAACATCAGGACTCAATCTGCATTCTCAACAGAGCCCCTAGTAAGTGGCTATGGTACAGAAACAAGGCCACACTGTGGGAAAGGCAGAAGGCATTGATTTAGTTTTCACGTGAGCTTGGGGTATGGAAATCTTAAAGCTGGAGATACTAGGTGAGAAAGAGGACAAACGGTATCTATGAATAACCATGCATGCCTTTAAAGGCCTGTGGCTTTTCAGACATATGAGAAGGGGAACAGAAAAAAAGTGTGGGTCTCGGGCCGTATGAATAGTGCTATTTGGGTAACTGGTAGTTCCAAGAACCTTAATCATATCACTGAGACACAGGAACCTAGGAAAAGTTTTGTTATTTACTCCAAAGTTTTAGAAGGGCCTGATCAACAGACAACCCCATCTTTTGGGCATGGAGATACACGCTTATAATCCCAACGCTTAGGAACCTCAGGCCTGAGTCCCAAGCCAGCCCTGTCTTAAAAGTGTAACCCTATGCCACAAACCAACCCAAACCACCAGAACACTAAAAACTCAAAAACTGTCTCCTCTGTCCATCTGCCATGCAGATCATGTGACTACAGCTCTGTTGGGCGAATGTCCGTGACCTGCCTGTGCTACGTGAGGCAGACTCCTGGAGAAGGTGAGTGCTGTGTCATGCAAGTTAAAGCTGTCAGGAATTCTCTTACCTGCCAGCCCATTTACTCCAATTAATCCAGCTGAACTTGAAATGCAAACCAAATGGCCATGGTTGTTAGCGATCATGGCAGGCAGGAAGGCTTTATACGTCTAAGAAGAGCAAAGGAAAACTTTTAATACTTAGTACACTGTTCACTTTTCTCAGATGTGTATATGGTTACCTAAGTACCCACAAGTACTTAATGGACATGATTGATTAGATGTATATTTTGTTTCCTTCCTTGGCTTACTTCAGGTTTTCAAAGTTTTCCTGACCACAGTTCTCAAGAAGTCCTGCTTCCTTTGAGACAGAACTTTGTTTTAAACCGAAAGCTACTTCTTTGAATGATGGTCTTTTATTTTAATACCAATTCATAAAATAAAGTTTGTTTTTCGGATAGTGGGTGCTTGGGAGGAGTCTCAGTCATGCAGAACATCTTCACTTTTCATACTAAGACCCTGGAAAAAGGTGGTACAGGAAAAACAATGAACTTCTGAGGAGGATGTCGTGGTTAACATGGCGAAATTTACCACAGATTCAGTCAAAGAGGTAAAGAAGTAACAGCTCAGTGGGTAAGTGTTTGCTGTGTACACACACAGATACACACACACACACACACACACTGACACACACGAACTAAAACAAAACAAAAAAACTAACAACAATAAGAAAAGAAAGAAATAAAAGGAGCCTCTTTCAAAGGTCCAGCCTCTTCTCTCACCTGCTTTGCACTGTTTCACAGAAAGAGGTGAACAGCCAAAACTAGGAAGAAGACAGTGTAACAAGCATAACAGGGACCCTGTGTTCAGGTCCAGTGACCCCTCTGTGTCTCTGCTGCGAAAGCTGGAACTCAGTGGTCAGGCAGTTCTTTGAGTCTCTGGCAATTAAGTCATATGCCCTGTGTTTGGTCACACACAGGGTTTCAAAGATATGAAAGAGTGAAGGGACCATACAGGAGGGGATTGCAGGGGCCAGAGGAAAAAATGTCAGAAATAGCTATTGGAGAAAGAGAAAGGAGACTAGGGCAAAACAGAAGTAGGACAGACATGAAAGTCACAGGAGGAGACTCCAAAAGGGCCTAAACTATCTATACATAACAATAAAAGAAAACTCATTAAACACACACACAGATGGACATGCAGACAAATGTATACACACACACACACACACACACACCCCTTGCACATTTAGGACGAGAGAAGTAATTCCAATAGGGACACAGTAGTTACTAGCTTCCTGATCTTTCCTTTTTTTCCCTGAAGATCATGTAGGCAGGGCATCAAGACACCAATTGGCACCACTATATTGTAGCAAAGGTGGAGATAGAAAACAAAAACTCCAAACATGTTTTAAAGCTTCTGAGGGAGAGCTGGAAAAGGTGTGAGAAGAAGGGAGGGTGATCTGAAATCTTCAGCAAGTCTTCTCAAAAGAGAGCCTTGTTTAGGGAAGGCTGAGCTGTGCACAGCAATGAAACCAACTGGGTAGCAAACAGAGTCAGGAAGGAGCCCCAGGAAGAGGTATAGAGTGTGGATGTGGGAACAGGCTGGTCAGTCAAAGGTGGAAAAATGTAACTTATGAGTCTGAGTGCAGCACTATGAGAGCCAATGCTGACATGTGGGACGGTGAGAAAAACCTATGCTTTTTCCAGGTAGGTACTGAGTGAGGTCTTAGTTTGCCTAGGACACATCTGATTAATGCTTGCTCATTAACAATGCCACTTTCACTTCCAAAAGTGTCCTTGCATAGGCAAATTGTAAATTGCCCTAGTCATGCCAAAACAAATTTACTCACAGCCAGGCATGGTGGCACTCACCTTTAATCCTAGCACTTGGGGAGGCAGAGGCAGGAGGATCTCTGTGAGTTTGTGGCTAATCTGGTCTACAAAGAGAGTCCAGGACAGCCAAGGTTACACAGAGAAACCCTGACTTGTAAAACCATTTTTTTCCCCTCACTATCTATTCTTGAAAAAAAATTATTTTTAAGTTCACTGGTCTCTTGCAAATATTTCTGCAAACTGCTCCAAGGAGCATCGTCACCGCTTGGGTTTTTGTTAAGAAAGGGCCAGGCCTAGGACTTCCTATTCTGTCTTCATGGATGCTCAAATCCCTGTATAAAATGGCAAGGCACTTGCATGTAACCACACACATCATAATACTTTAAACCACCTCTAGGCTTTCCCACGACAGTGCAAAGCTGTGTAAATAATTGTTAGAGTGAATTAGTTAGAGCTGATAACAAGGAAAATCTTCACATGTTTGCCATGGACACAATACTTTAAAAACTGCTTTGGATCTCTGATTGGTTGGATCTATTGATGTGAAATTGTCAGAAGCTTTGACATGTAAGACATACGGGCCAGACCCTAGTGTTTGTTGGTGACCAATCAATGGTAGCTCCATGACAAGGACAGCTCTGTCACGGCAGAGGCTGTGGGAGCTATAAGACCAAGTTGGATCAAGAGGAAACAATGGAGTGGAGAAACCCAAAATTAAGTTGGTAAACTGGGATGTAGCTCAGTGGTTCAGTACTTACATAGGCCATGTAAGGACCTGAGCTGATTCCTAAACTTGCCCCCAGGATTAAGATGTGTGTGTGTGTGTGTGTATGTGTGTGTGTGTGTGTGTGTGTGGTAATACTGCTAAAGAGCAAGAGAAAAATATTTTGGAAACATGACAGTAAGTTTGGATTTAGTATGAAAATTTAAAAAAAAATCACCCATAAATGTGCTTTGAAATTGACATCCAGTGACTTTTCCATGAGGTCATCAGGGCATTCGAGGAACTTTCTGCCTGTTACAATGCCGGCATTGTTGATGAGGATAGAGACATCGCCAACTTCTTTCTTTACCTGGATTGGATAAGAAGAGTGCCGCCATCAGACTAGTAATCATTATTGATCCCTTTCTCAATATTTATGTATTTATATATATTTACATATATTGATATATTATTGACCTGTACTTCAGGCTAGACTCATTTGTTCTTTGCAGAGTCCTCACTACACTAGATCTCTAAGCCTGACACTCTGCATTTCATTCTATTCTCTCTCTTGTATAGACTTTAATGTCGAAAGGCCATTTTCCTTCTCCACTCGAACCCATCTTACTACCTATGCTTAGTAATCTCCATATTTTTCATTGGTATCATAGCATTTCAGTTAAGCGACAGATACAAGAATAGCTTTATTATTATAACCAAACAGCATATACAGAAATAGGGAGGAGACAGAAACCGATGGAAATAAGATAACATATATTTTAAACACAAGGCAGATTGGAATCTGCCTGTCTTGTTTTCTTCAACAGACTGGTTCTCTTTTCTCCACCTCATACTTTTAGGAGTGAGAACTGTGAGTCATGTTTGTTGTTGAAATGGCAAATTGAGAAGGCTGTAGTCACTGTTCCTCTAGAACTAAGGGCCCCGGGTATAGCAGTGGTCTCTTTGCCTCTAATAAGCTTTCAGTTAGTCAACTTGCCTCATATTGAACACGAGCCTTTTCAGGATGATGACAAGGCTGGTACCATCCCTATGTTCTCCTTTGTGTTCTGCATTTCATCAGTGCAATTTCGATCATACAGTAGCAATCCTGATCCCCACCATTTAGAAAGAACCACCCATTGTAGTTAACATGTGTTCACAAAAAGAGGCCCACAACAGTTTCTCTAGCTGTGAGTGTCTTTGTAGGTGTGCTTGTACATAAGTGTTTGCATATTTGTATGTGAGTGTACTTGTGTGCGCACATGTTTGTATGAGTGTGTGGGTCTATGTGCATGTGCACATCGTGTAAAGTACATCACAGTGCCACAGAATGGTGCTGGTGAGGACATGTCACTGTGGAAAGGCAGAAGCTGCCACAAGGGAAGGCCTGGGTTCAACATCAGGGTGACATGGCTGTGCCACTCTCAGCGTAAAACACTAGAAAAAGTAAAAGTGTTTGTCTGCTTTAGAAAGTGGCTAGCAGTTCATCAAATTCAACTTTAATAGCAGTCAAGAGTAGAAACTAGATTGCCCCACAAAGGCCAAATGTCAAAAACTTTGGCAGAGACTTGGGATGGAAACAAGGCCTGCTGGAAGGCCCTGGACTGTCAAGCATGCTAGTATCTTCTGCTGAATCTCCAGGCTGGCTGATGGGAATTTCTCAAAAGCTCAGGTTTTTTATCCTCTACTTATTTGAAGTAGCAGGCAGCAAGAAAGATCTGCTTTTGTTACTGACCAGATAGTCTATGATTCTGGAAATCAGGCATCAGTAACCAATTTCAGGAAAATTGCAGATGCTGCAAGTTAAATTTAAGAGACCGGCCTTCCTTTCTCCCTTCCATTTGGGAGAAGTCTGTTCAGGCAGAGATATGATAAAACCAAACCAATTTGTATTAAATACACAGCTAGGATCCTTGAATGTTACATCAAGGATAAGTGAAAACTACATAGCCTCAGCTTGTTCATACCTTACTGTTCAAAATAACCTGTCACCAAGGTGTACCATGAAGCAACACTGGACTTTTCCCAAAGCTAAGCTATAATTCCTGGATACAAGCACTCAAATCCACTCAAGCCTAGCAGAGAGAAAATTCTAGGTACCACGTCAAAACTTTTCTCCATGGTCATTCTCCTGGGGGAGCATGCCTCAAGAACTCTTATAGTTTCCTGTTATATAAAATAAGAAGTGCAATGGCTGGTTTCTAAGTAAAGTTGTTTCTCTTAAATTCAGAAGAGCACATTTCCAATACTCCTCAAGACCACAAAGTGACAAAAAATGAACCACAAGCTAGGAATATGGCTTGGAAGACCATGCCAGAAATCAAGCAGCTGACACAGACTTTCATCCCAGATTCAAGAGACAAGGAGGTAATTAGTGATAGAACTCTGTATCACATTGCCATTAAGATGAAGGTCTTCGTGTCTGAGTATAAACTCATGACCGCTGAAGCCTGGCTAGAGAAGTTGTTTTGGGTAAACAGGTGCGATTGATCAGTTGGCTGCACGTGGGATGTGACCTCAGAGTAGTCCTGGGTGGGTTTATCAGATTTGGGTCTCCAGACTGCATCAGACAGCCTGTAATTGGAAATATTGGTAAGAAAGATGGGAAGTAGAAAGGCTGTTGGAGCAATCTGGCTTGGTTCCTCCCTTTACCCTAGATGAAACAATACTAAGTCCTGTAGTTGGCTTGGGAGAGTAGTGTGTGGTATATGTATCTTAGTGTAGATATAAGGGCACAGAAGTCCTTACTAGGGACAAGGCTGCCCCTTGATGAGCTAACAGCCTCTCTGCCAGTATATTAGAGTTTCAGTTTCCAGAAACCTTAAAAGTCCGTCTATATTATTGCCGAAGAAGTATTTAGAACAGTGGTTCTCAACCTTCCTAATGCTGCCACCCCTTAATACAGTTCCTCAAGGTTTGGTGACCACAAACCATAAAATTATTTTTGTTGCTACTTCATAACTACAATTTTGCTATTGTTATGAACTGTAATGTAAATATTTGGTATTCAGGATATCTGATATTCGACGGCTGTGAAGGGGATGTTTGACCCAAAAAAGGGTTACCACCCATAGGTTTTAGAACAACTGATTTAGAGGATCTGGGTGTAATTCAGTGATAGAGTGTGCAATTGGTAAGCACCAAGGCACTGGATTCAAGCTCCTCTACTGCCAAGACCTAAAAATGTCTCAGTGTGAGCATTCTTATTTTCCAATGATTATGTGTGAAGTACACACATTCAAATGGATGTTACGGTGGTAGGGCGGCCGTAGCCTGGATTTAACTCAGCCTAAACAGGGTACACATATACTATTTGATCTCGGGCAAGGCACTGAGCATCTGTTTCTGACCTCTCAAAGAAGGATGCTTCCACCCCATGCTCCTTCTTACCTTGCAGTAGTACAGCTGGCATGCGGTGGGGCCATGATCCAGCGCACTGTGCCATACAGGGATCAAGAAACTCAAGCCCTGGCCATTCCTCTGTTAATTGCCAGCTCTATTCCTAAAGTAAACTCCATGCCCACACAGATTCACTGTCCTTATTTTCAAAGGTGAAAAATAAGATTTACCTTACAGTGTCATGGCACGCTACATACAGGATACTTAGCAAGACATTTTGCATACGATAAGAATGAAAAATTACAAATTCCTATTCCCCCAGATTATTTTTAAAGTAGAGGAATAATGGAGACAAGTGGACGGCACCGAGACAGAGAGGCCGGTGAGTAAAACTGGTGCATGCCAGAGACGTCGCATCAGATTCTCACAACCCACAGAAAGCAATGAGAGCCCCAGCTGTACCTGGTCGGCCACTGTGTACACTTCTTCCTTTCGGCTGCAGTCACAGACATAGGCATGCACTCTGGAAGCTCCTGCTTCCCGAGCTAACTGACAGGTCTCCTCATTTGCCTCCTTATTCACATCCCAGAGAACGAGCACAGATCCAAGGCGGGCAAATTGCAAAGCCAAGAGCCTTCCAAGTCCACTCCCAGAACCTGTTATGAGGACTATTTCACCAGCAACGTTCTTCCGTTGTTTGGGGATCACATAAGAAAGTAGGACCTCCAAAATACTAAGCAGTGACTTTCCTAAGAAAACAAGCAAGTCCTTTGCTGATTCCAGGTTGGAAGACATGTTCTGGCCAACACCTTTAAAGCAAGAGAGAGTTTGCTCAGTTCCCCGTACTAAAGGAAAATACTGAGAAGGTGATGAAAATAATCTTACTGGAAGCTAACGCTGAACTCAGGGGCAGGCAGATACCACAGCGACACGTATGATATCTGCTCCAACTTTCACACATGGCCTCAGGCTCCGTTCCGATCTGCATGCCAGCCATGGGTCACAGGTAACAACAGTGTTTGTCAGTTGGTAAGTGGAACCACCTCATTCAAACTTATGCCAAGGGATGTGGCTGTATTTCTTTCTAGTTAACTTTTATCTTACTAACTGTGAGTCCTGATGTGTAGTTCAATGATTCCGTCACATCATGGTGTTTATGATATAACTCTTATGGTGCTATGCTTTGTCTCCTTTCAGCTTTTTTTTTGCACTACAATTCTTTTGTCTAGTGATGCTAGTTAAGGTTTGAAGTCTAGGGATTTTAGTTCAGTGTAAGAATGCTTGCCTGGCAGGTGTGAGGTCCTGGCTTCTAACTGACCACCAACACAATAGCAAGAGGGATTTTGTGATAAAAGAGGAAATTGGAAAATCTTACTCACACAAAGTATTTGAAGAGAACTAATTGGTGGTCCATCAGCACCCTAAGCCTCTTCCCTAGGCTGAGAGCCCCATTCAGTTAGCTCTCTTTCACTTACAAGACTTGTTGAGATAGACCTGGATACCTTCTCTGCCTCTGTGAAGCTTGGGGCAGTCTCCAGCGTCTTTCTGGACCCCCTTCTCCTCTTTACCAGGCTTGGGTCTCAGGTTCTGCACCTGAGAAGAGAAAATCATAGCTCTGCCTCACAGAAAACGTTCCATCATGTTTTCTTCCTTTTTGGATTCATAGTACAGATCACCAAAAATGCACCTGACAGGTTTTTGTGAAGTGGTAAAGGTTTTCCCTGAGTGGGATGTTCCACTGAGAGGCTCAGAAGCAGGTACAGGTCTCTAGAGATAAAAGAACAGAAGGTAGCAGGTTTTGGTTGGTTGAGGACCAACTAAATTCTATTAATGATCATGGGTGGTTCAGTTCATCTTTAGAAGGGTTTAACACATGAAAGTTAGTATGGCCTAAACTACTTATTCTGGCTTATTCTACAGATAAGTCTGAGAGAGAAAAAGATGGAGATAAGACGGATAAGATGGACAGAATGTATTCGTGATCTGCTCAAGGCCACTGTGCTAGCATAAGGCTAAGTGGATTCCATGCTCTGCTTATCAAACATCAGCTACAGTTGATTCTTTGTGCTCTGGGGCCTTGGTTGTCTCATAACCTAAACTGTTCTAGATGAAGAAACAGATCATAAGTAGGTTTTGAATCATCATGTGCAATAGAGTAGAGAAAAGTTCTGGTTGGTGGGAGACTTGATCTGGATTGGGGCCTGGAAAGAAGCAAGAGGGAAGGATTGCTGGTGAGTGATCTCGCCAGTGATGAGCAGCAGGCATTAGAGACTTGGCAGTAGCTATGTGGGTCTTGAGGTAGGAGTGCTCCATTCATCTGGGATTTTCAGAGTGCAGCAATGCTTCTTGGGAGGAGCATTAAGGTTCAAAGTTGAGCTTTATTATACTTCTGGACATAACAACTTAAATCCTCTGCCAGCTTTGCTCTGATTTATACCCAGAGCAATTCTTTGATGGTTGATCAGGCCTCTGAGGCAATCTGTAATTATGTCTTGAAGGAAGACTCCCATTTTAAGAGGCGGTTGCAGGGGGTGTACCTGCAGCCCTGTCAGGCGTACGCCAAATGACGCACACAGTAAAGGGACACTCTGGCCACGTTTCCTATGCGGCAGAATCTCACGTCCATGCCCTTCCCATTAGATAACACACATCAGGTGACCCAGCCGGGCCGTTCGGTCCCCTTTCTGGCACAGCATTTTGTGATCCCTGACAGCAGACAGGGATCTACTCAGTTTTCTCCGCCCTATGGAGAAATAGCCAGGTGAGGCAAACTCTGGAACAAGTCCCAGCCTTCTCCTGTCTTGGCAGGTACTTTGGAGCTTGGTAGCATGTAGTAGCTCCCATGTCAAGTTTAGGATGTCTTCTGTGTAATTAGACATGCAGTGAGGAGAGAGTTTGTGGTATTTGGGCTAGGGTGCCGTATCTGTCAGTGTCTTAGCTGAGGAAAGTAATTTCATTGCTTGCATTTCAGTCTTCTCTAAGAAGCTAATGTTTATGCAAATGCTACTGTACTGAGGGAGGCAGCAGTGAGTAGCTTGGCCACACACAGACACTGCTAGTCTCAAACACAATGTGCACAAATTAAGGAAATTAAGCTAGGCATGGGCCTGCACACAGCCATTCTTAGGGGACACAGCATTGAGGAGAAATGCAGAAGAGCTGGCTGGATTTTAGTCATAGCAGCATCTCTCCATCTCCTCCCCAGCGTCTGTGGCCCATAGGTAGCACAACACTCCAATGCCATCATGGGCATTCATGGGAACAAACGATTCAGCGTTTTCTGGCTATAGGCTTGAAAAGTGATTGTAGCTAGTACAGCGACAAACAAACAAAACAACGAATCTGTGCCTTCAATTTATCATAACGATGCCTTCCTAGGAAGATGCAAACATATTCCATTTAAGCAGGCTGAAAACTTGGTGTCTTCCCCCTCCTCCCCAGTTCAAAAGCTGAGCTAATGAGGCACACAGAAAGCCCATGACACTTGCTTCCAAGTCTAGGGTTGCAGGGAGCAGATGGATATGGTGGTGGCAGATCAGATGACAGCCACAGCTCCTGCTGAATGGGGTGAATTAAAGGTTGCAGGGAGGAGATTGTGCATGTGTGGGCCTGGGCAGAATGCAGGAACAAGGGCCACCAGGTAGGCATTCACTCTGCTCCCTAGCGCCCAGCATACCCTCCACCCCTCCAACTCCCCGAGGGACAGACATCTGGGTTTGTCCAGAACACCAATGCCCTTCAGTGGGGGCAGACAATCTGCTGTCTCAGGCTTAGTGCTGGCACCTGACTGCTGCTGAAGTTTCCCTGTGTTAAAATAAACTCTCACGACTGGGTCTGGGCTCCATGGCTGGCGTTTGCCACCTCTCAAGGGACAGCCCCAGAATCTGAGATCTCCACAACTTACCTCACAGACTGTCCCCTGTCTGGCCACCACGAAGAAGCAGGCAACTTAGGCCTCAGGCACCCAGGTCCCTGGTTCTCAGCTCAGTGAGGTTCGGTGTTTATCCCTGAGTAGGGTGTAGCCTAAACCCAAGGGCGGGACTGTGATCCCGTGGGAGGCGGGGCCTCGATCAAACGTCCTTTCCTGCAGAAGGTGGTAACTGGATAGTGGCAACTGGACTCTTGCCCCAGTATTGCCCATCCCTTGTATAATTTCCCATGCCCAGGCAGGATACAGGATTGTTAAAACAGATTTTTGGGTTGAAAAGAACAGAGTTAGCAGCAAGAGATTTCCTAACACCAGGTGTGTTTGCAAGCACAGCCAAGGGTTGCACAGGGTTTAGGAACCAGGTTGTACCCAAGCAACCTGCAGCTCTGGGCACAGATGTGAAATTGTTCAACGCTGTCTGATTCCGCCACTTGGGACCCAACGTCTCAGGTGTCTGTAAGGAACGTGGGTGTGAGCTTGGAATCTGCCAGGAGCTGGGTGGGTGGTGGCTGGCGTGCCTGTGGCTCAGGCAGGTGGCCAAGGGAGAGAGAGTTTGTTTTAACAAGATGAAGTTGAGAAATAAAAATAGAGTAAGTGCCATCAGTGTCCTATGACCTGCTTCTTCAACGATGCTGTGTTGCTCTGTACACATTGCTTGTGTGAAAAAACCCCAACAAAACAAGGCTGTAATTTAACAGCCAAGGAAACAAGCTAAGTTAGTGAAATTAGTGAGCGATCTGATTTATCTCATCACCAAAATGCTTATGCTAAATAGAGTTTCACCACATAGAACAGGAAATACTGGGAACAGGAACTAGCTTGGGTCTGGATGTGCATTTCAAGAGTGGAAGGGACAGAGCAAATGGGTAAGGCCCAGAGGCGTGTCCTCTTTCATCTGGGACAGGTTCTGGGAAGAAGGAAAAGACTGGAAAAGCGGAGGCAGGAAAAGCCTTGTTTGTGTTTTCCGTGATTAGAAGTTTGCCTTTAAAGGTCTGAGTGGGGGCAGATGCATGGGCACTGGCATTAGGTTGCTCATCAACTGAGGGCATGTGGAGTGACCATGAAGGATTGTTTACTGAGGAGTCAGCTTAGATGTCCTCAGGGTCCATCTGAGGGCACCCAGGCAGCCCTTAGAGAGGGAGAAAGTGGCCAGGCTGTAGGCATGTGGAGGTCCTGCAAAGGGAGAATAGGCCAGGTGTACAAGGGAGCAGGACCTAGGGATCATAGTGGACTGAGGCTGGGAGAGGAAGCTGGCTGATGGGCCTAGCTCATCCATCCTGTCTTTGAGCTCAGATGGATGGATGCTGGGAAACACCAGCCTTCCATCACCTTCACGGCTTCTCTAGGCAGAATCCTGACATACCTTCTTTCTGGCCAGACACTGGGATACACCTCATGGAAGATACGGAGAACTCTTAGAAATTTCATCCTTACAAAATGCGGGTGTGGGCAATGCAGGTCCAATGGAGAGGCAGCTGAAGCAGCTGGAAGACTGGCAGGTGGTGAAGATTCTGCTTTGGCGTGACGGTGGGGCAGATCGAAGGCTGGGCTGCTACTCTGAAAGCTATGAGTGGGGCTTCTAAACAGAGTCCCTCTGCAAGGGCAAGAAATGGGCAGTTCATGATGGAAAACGTTTCATGACTAATCGACATCTGAGAACAGTCTGAGCTTCTTCGATTTTATAGATACACACTCAAAGGATAATTTTCCTTCAAACTGACAAGTATTTTGAGAGAGAAGAGTATATTCATATTGGAATAGAGAGTGTCAGTTATGTAATTCTCAAACACATATACACATACAGACAGACACACAGGCACAGACAGACAGACAGATTGACACACACACACACACACCACACCACACC